AGATTGGTGTCGAGTGCACCTGCCTTTTATCTATAAAACCAGGTATTACCCAACATTTTCTTTGAAAAAGGCCTGTACCAAGTTAGTAATAATACAGTTGTTCACCATTCGATCCGATGGTTGATTTAATCTAACGTTTGATTTTGTCATATTTTTTAATATACCTTAAAGTCTTGTATTTTTGGTTAAACCATTTTGAATATGAGATCGTTGCTTTGTGACCTTGGAATTGAGGTCCAGGTCAAAAATGAATTTGACAATGTACATTTTTTACCTTTACTTTAACTTGATATTTAAACATGATGAAGCCATCGGATCCTTTGCATTAGGTTGGAAGACATTGACAGGTCAACTACAATACTGGCCTTCTGTAATCAGGATACGAAATAAGAAAATGTGGTATGATTGCCAATGAGACAGCTCTCTACTAGAGACAACATGACAAGGAGTTAACAACTATAGGTCACCGTACAGCCTTCAATGATCAAATATCATTCTGCATAAACAGCTATAAAAGGCCTTGCAATTACAAATTCAAAACAATGCAAACGAGAAAACTAACGGCCTGATTTATGTATAATAATCAATATCAATCAGAACACATCAAACATCCAATGGATTTAGTGTAAAGACGTCATTAACAGTCAGAGAAAAACATGACCTTGTGCAATGCTAAGACACAGGTATCGACAGAGTGTAGGGCTATTAATGTGTATATGTTTATAACAAAAATATTTCGTTTGATTTTAATTTACTGATTACAAAATCAATAGTAATACCAATAAAAACAATGTCCAAAGATCTACTTTCAGTGATATTGGTATTAATAACCTTTTAGAATAAGTTTATTTGAAGGATCGATAAGTTTACCCGGATCGTATCTAAATTTTTGAGCCCGATAAACAACATCTCCGTTAAACTTGGATGTGCTATCCCGTTTGAAATAAGTTTATTCTACAGGTATAACCAAACTTCCAAACCAAATATTTGTATCTATGGAAGAATTTATTAGGTTTTAAGAAATGTGTGGTAACGAAATCCTTGACTTAATCATTTACCAGTAATATATAGATTACGTTCATTGAAATCTCAAACGTTACAATAGACATGGGCATAGCGAAAGAGTTGTGATATATAAACACCGTAAGATTGTGCCAAATGAATATCATCGTCTAAAACAGGAAAATTAGCAATAGGGAACGAAACATCGTCACTTTAGTCGTAAAGTTTTGTATAGAGTTTTCCGTGTAAAACTGAAATATTTAAATCTGAGACAGGACAGAATGTCGGCAGTAATTTTAGAAAATTCATGATTATTTAATGCAAAAATATCATCAAAATAACGGTAAGTGTTGTTGAATTTATAAATTAAATGCAATTAAGACGGGTCTTTATTGAGTTTGGTCATAAAATGTGATTCATAACAGTACAAGAACAAGTCTGTTGTTAAAGGAACACAAATGATGTCCATAGGAATACCTACAACCTGTAAATAAACTAATTGTCGAAACGTAAATAAAGATTATCAAGGAGAAAATTAACAGCTTCATTCATCTCATTTCACCTGCAATAAGAATATCTAGCATATTAATCTTTCTCATTAGAGAAGAAAACTTTAAATGAATTGCAGTAAATATATTTGAGATCAGAATTATCAAACGACAATTTAGTTATATAGGAACATTTTTGTTTGATAAGATTGTGTGGAAGTGTAGTGTGAAGAGTTGAACAGTCAAAACTGTCAACAGAATCAAAAAGACCATCTTAAGCACGCAATTTATCTAAAACACCCAAAGAACTTTTTACACTCCAAAATAATTAATTCTACTATTCTTATTTCATTATAAAAATTAAAGTTTATGATAAGTTCTTTGATAGTAGTTAAGGATCTAGTTAGAGCACTGAAAGATTAGTTGTAGAACATTTACTAGCGGCCTATATAAAACGACATTTTACTGTTTTTTTTAGTAGTTTAGGTAACCAATTAATAGTAAGGACCTTCAAATGCCCAGAAGAGGCCTTAAGCTGTGGTTATGATATGATTGTTTACTATATGGCTCTCTGTGGAGCGCACGGACTTGAATATACAAAAATTTCAAATTTCATTCTTAAAAACTTCCGTGTAGTATTTACGGCATACCACAACCACATTGTTGACTGCTTTGTCGACCGGTACCAACACAAACCGCTTTGCGAGTACTTGACGTTAGTTTCCTATTTTAGAAATAGGTGTATTGTGTACTCTTTTATTTGTTGCAATTTTTTTTTTTACAAAATATCCACAACATTCATACATTTATTTAATAAGAAATCAAGAGATTTTTATCAGATTTTTCCCGTCGGTTCTGTGTTATCTAAATAGGAACGTATAGAGTTTTGAAATGTGGTCATTTAATATACTCGTTAAGTTGATGAAAACAATGACTCAGTAAGTATATTTGATTTTCAGAATATGCTGGCAAAAAGCTGTAATTATACGCGAATATTCATAGACTAGGCTAGCTAGCTCCTTGAAAATATCATGTAACTTACTAATTTGTATTTGACCCTGTTAACATAATAATTGATGCCTGCCATTGTTTTTAAAAATAGATAGAAGATCATCAAGGGTATACTTTATACGAAGCGGTATATATGTTACAGTGTTAATATAGCTATTGTTTTGCATTTATTTCATGTAAAAAAATAAAGCAACCTTATATCTTTGGAATCAATATGAAGTAATCTATTATCTCAAACCGGACGTTGCAACTTCAAGCCAGACATTGCAAATTAGCTCCCTTATTCCAACCAAAAAAATAGAAACCATATATTTAAGGAATCATTGTACACTTAGCTATGAATTGACAACGGAAATTGTATTGAGCAAACCAGACGTCGATTATTCTCTACCTTAATTCATAAGAAGAATAAAAGTTATGTATTTTTTAATTCGGTGAAAGATAAGGATTCCCTTCAATGCTTTTCAACTTTGTACTCCTTTTGTCCTTTTATTTTTTTGGATTCGAGAGTCATCAATTGGTCTTTTGTAAACGAAACGCACGTCTTAATCAAAGTCAGTGCCAATATAACATAATAATGCTCATTTTGCGAAATATTTTAAACAAAACATATATGTAACATTACTTTTACTTTTGTAAATCAAACCTATGGATTATTCTGATTACAGGTTATGTTAAAATGATGTTTATTAATTTCGAAAGAACAATTGTATTTCATTTCCCCGCTGTTCATTCATACATGAATTTAGGTATACATAGTAAACATGCTTTTACTATCAGAAACTAGATAGTGTTAAGGTATGGGTAAGGGTAAGAGTTAGAACTATAATTAATATCTTGTGTTCCGGTGAATAATGTGTATCCTGTTAAACTCCATCCATTCCATCAAACAACAAATTAGAATCAAAGTTGAAAGTAATGTTTATTGGAAGACCATTAACATATTCTGTGTTTTTGTGTGTTGTTATGAGAATCAATCCCTTTCAGTGGTACATTTTCTTTTGGAAATCATTGAGATCTTCAGAAGGATATAACAGAAATTATAGAAGTTTATTATTGCATGAGCTGTAAATCTATATAATTTTTTCTACTTTAAATAAAAACGGAAGTCAGCGTTAAAGTCTTTTTGGGATCTACACATTACACGTTAGTCGGCTACGGCTTTGAACATGTTGAAGTAATAGACTGCGAAGTTAATAGATAGAAGATAATAGTTCATACTAATCAGTTGGCCATTGAATTCTTATATTCAAGTTATAGAGAATCGATGTTACACTATGGTCTCTCCCAATATCCAACAATTTACATAAACACAAAGTATTAAATAAAAACTACAGAATAACTTGGGTATATTATATATATAACAGATAAACTGACATGTAAAATGTAATAATTTCTGACAACTACGGCTATCCGAGAAGGTTTCCAATATCTGCCGCCCTAAAATAAATAAATAGATATTTGAAAAAAATCAAATGTATATAAATAATAGTCTTCCAAATGTGGGGATTTTTTCGTGATAGAAGTTGTTGCTGACAGATTAACTATGAGGCGCTTGGCCCTAGTTAGATGCTTGTTATTCCTATGATTGCATTTTGTTATTTTTATATTGTATTTATTTTTCGTTTTACATTTGTCATTTCGGTATTTTTTATACCTTGCTAAGCTGTATCGGTTTTGCTCATTGTGGAAAACCTTACGGTGACCTTTTGTTGATAAATAATGTCGTTTCTGATCGATATTTGTCTCATTGGCAATCACACTTTTCTGCTTATTTGTATATTAATTGTATGAGATTGAGGTAAACTTTCAAAGGTTTTAAGGAAGCGACATGATATAATGGGTGACCACTATGTAATAACAGAACTCTTCAAATATCCGACGAACGACCCAGATTAAGAACATGGACATATTGTTATTTGTGTCAATCAGTAAAAGAAGAACAACTTTTTTTCAAAGAAATTATTATCAATAGCTTAGAGTGCTTAATGCTCTGTAACTTAGTACTTTATAAGGCCATTTTAACTTGTTAAATCCTAGCGTCACTGCTGAGTCTTTTGTAGACAAAACGCGTCTGGCGTACAAAACTTTAAGCCTGGTATAAATGACAAACCTACTTAAATGGGGACTTGTACATAACATTAAAATAATTTGAAGAAGAAAACAAATTTATCATATATTTTTGCAGTGGTGAAAATCACAGTTTTTTTTTTATTTATTCGATTTCTTTGGAATGGAACTTACACCATTTCACAACATTTTAAAACTGAAAAAAAAAGTTTATCATGTTTCAGCAGTTGTAAATATTCCAGATAATAGGTGTTGTGTTTAATCGATTTCTTTGGAATGGTTCTTACACCATTTCACAGATTTATTTTGTTGGAACTGTTCAAGAACCATCTGTCCAAGAAAATTTGAAGCCATTAACAGGATCAAGTCGCATATCACATTGTAACGTGTATTGCCTTTTAATCGCTTCCTCTGCAATAGTACTTACACCATTTCACAAATGTAGGTGGTTGGAACTGTGCAAGAACCATCTGTCCAAGAATAATTGAAGCCTATAACTGGATCAACTCGCATAGCTACACAATTTTCGTTTCCTCCTCTGTTGTTTGGTTGGGTAGGTCCCCAGTTAAAGTATGTTGCCTGCTTGCCATTGGCTACCCAGTGAAATGTCCCTTCAGTTACAAGGTCATTTAATCCTATGTACATTCCAATGGAATCTGATAAAGCAAACAAAATGGTTGTGAATCACTTACCAAACTCATAATGCTGCTTTTAAACAAAACATGCAATATTCTATTCATCAAATACTCATTTTCAAAATTGTATTGTAAAATATTTTATTATTTTTCTGTGACTTCCTACTATTTTAACAGGGGCGTGTTTTATTGTTCTTCCGTAGTGAGCCAGAAGAGGTCCATTTCTGTTTTTTTTTGCATAGGGAAGATCTTCTGGCTCTCTTCCACCTCTTCTATTTTGATAGGTAGTTTAGACGGCAGAGGCACATAACAAACATGGCGTCGTTTAGTCTTAATGACATTAATAAATTTATGAATGCAGATATATTAGAATGTAAGCTGTGTTATAAACGTTTTTATGGTATGACAGTCTTAGAAGGACATCCCTGTAAGACGATAAGCTGGATAAATATAAAAACTACACGGACAATAACAGTTAAGGGACTACTATTTGATTGATTGGTGTTTAACGCTACTTTCAACACTAAGTTGGGCTATTCCGTGGAGGTCAGTTTAAATTTATAGATGAAGGATGGGGAAGGGAAGAGGGCATTATTAACTTTTTTAATCTGTCGCTAATTATGCCTATTTTTCAGCTCTTACCAGCCAACCATATTCATATATGAAATCCTCCTGCCCCCCCACCCCAATAAATGAATGAATATCAAATGGTTTTTCTTCTTATTTAACACAAGTTTAAATTGATTGATTGTTTGTTGCTAATTTTTAACGCCCAGTGACAAATATGTCATGCATGTTCAGGACTCGGTTCAGGAAACACGGGTTTAAAAGTCAGGTAAATAAATAAAAACGTAGAAATGTATGAATTCTAATGAGGCAACTATCCACCGGAGTTCAAATATGAAGTGGATGTAAGCAATTATAGGCAACCGTAATTAAGGCCTTCAACAATGACAAAACCCGATACTGTCAAAAGGCCCGACGTGAAAAGTGTGAGAAACAATTCAAACGAAAAAACTTACGGCCTAATTATACATAACAAAATAATTTACAAAATATCAAATATGAGTCGGGACATGAACAAACGACAACAACTAAACTACAGGCTCCTGACTTGGGACAGGCACACAAAGAATATGGCAGGGTTGATATAAAAACGAAGATTGCCAATGAGACAACCCTCCACAAGAGACCAAATGACAAGGCAATTAACAGCTATAGGTCACCGTACGGCCTTCAACACTAAGCAAAGCCCATACCGCATAGTCAGCTATAAAAGGCTCCGAAATCACAAATGTAAAACAATTCAAACGAGAAAACTAACGGTCTAATTAATGTACAAAAAAATGAACGAAAAACAAATATGTAACACAGCAACAAACGACAACCACTGAATTACAGGCTCTTGACTTGGGACAGACACATACATACAGAATGTGGCGGGGTTAAACATGTTAGCGGGATCCGGCCCAACCAGCCCCTTAACCTGGGACAGTGGTGCAACAGTACAATAACATGTTTGTGAGCGCTCAACCCTCCCCGAAGCTGGGACAGTGGTGTAACAGTACGATATAAGAACAACCTGCACAAATCAATTGCAATTAGATTAACTCAAAAGATCAGTACGAGACACACTAAAAAAACTTACATTAAGACAATAGACACAAAGCACCGAAATGAGAGTATTTGCAATTACTGGAAGTTTGTTCAACGCTAATTACCACTATAGTACTGAAATAAATCTTGTTCTCCCAGACTGAAGTATCAATCAGTACACAACCAACGGATTTATCAAAAAAAAAAAGATGAAAAAACAGTCTGAGAAATGTCTGGTATACATTGTATACTTGCATATAGATCCATATACAATGACAATTTTTGAAAAGTGGTGGTCCGAAGGTTTTAATCATCGAAATTATGCAATAGAAAAAATAGTTAGGACCAGAAGGACCACCAGAGAAAAATGATTTTGAGAACTTTCCGATATCTTTGCTTTATACAAAAATAATCCAGTTTGGTAACTTTTAAAAAATTGGATAGAAAAGATGTCCTTTTTGATCATATTCGAGACAAACATTGACGAATTTTTGTGCAGTTTAAGATTATTCTTAAAAATCAAATAGTGCGGGTTTACGCCTGATTTGTCTAGAAAAATTGAGTTAGAGGAAAGAACAAAGAAAAATGTCACGAACAGAGCACACTTTTACAGTCATGTCTACCGGACGTATCTTAATTTTCTATAAAATCATCGTAATCTTCATTTAATATGTCATCCTACATAACAAAAATCTGCTATATTCGACGGCAAATTGAATTTTTGTTTTAATGATCTTCCGTAGAATATCTCCAGAAGAGGTCCAGATTCATTTTTTTGGATTCTTCACCAGAAGACATTCTGGAGATGTGCAGAAGAGACCAATAAAACACGCCCCAAGTAAACGTGAAAGAATTGACCACATGATGTCTCTGTCTGTTTTGTAAGTCAATGTTTTTGTATGAGCGCAATTCAAACCTGATTTTTTTTTTTTTTTTTTTTTATCTCGTTTTTATGTTTTCCAGTCGAAATTTGTCTTCAATTTGACAAAATAGTTTTGAATAACTCAAAAAACTCATATTTCTGCCTATAAACAAAACATGCAAAATTCCATCTATTAAATATACATGTCTAAATTGTATTGTAAAGTAATTTTTTAGTATTTTTCAGGCCGAAATATGAACGGCATAATACAAAAATTACAGTGAAATTTATTGTTTTCCAGGCTTACTGGAAATTTTATTTCTGCATAAGTTTTCCATGACTTCCTTCTATTTTAACAAGTGAGCGTGTGAGATTTGACCACATGACGTCACTGTCTGGTTTTGAAGGACGTATTTCTATGAGCGTAATTTCAACCAGATTTTTTTATTTTGGCTTTTTTATCTCGTTTACATGTTTCTCATTCGTAATTTGTTTTCAGATTGACTTTATAATTTCTGTTTGGCAAATATATAGTTGTTTCAGTTTTTTCTTCCTGTTGTTTTGAATAAAATATGAGATTTACAGAAAACGATTCGATCAAAATACACTGCCATTTTTAATTACTTCACTGCAGTTTTCAAATCGCAGTTGATTGAATGTATTGTACGATGACTCATAGAACTATTTCATTGCGACTACGTTAAAGTATTGGGCTTGTTTTAAATGCAAACAATGAATGTAGTCAACAAATTAAAACATTTTAAAAAGTAAATGCTTAAATGAGAATACAACAACGACTCAGTCTATTACTTCTAAATAAGGAAAGGATCCTCAATGACTGGGAAGTAAACAAAACCATGTTCTTATTCTTGCAAAATGCAGAAAAATTCCTATGCATACTATATATATATACACAGGTCGCCACAAATTATTTTTTTTCAGGTTTAGGTAGATAGAGGAGGAATTAATATGGGAAAAGTTGTGCTTTATGATTCATGTACAATCTAATGTCTACTCATTCTTACTTATTTTGATCATTAAATCTGTAAGAAACTGTTGTGTTTTCGCATCATCAACAGTAGCTAATGATGCCGATCTTCCATATTGGCGTCCAATCACTTCACACAGTTTCTGAGATAAGATAGAAACATATTACTTTCATGAAATTAGAAAACAGGTATTTATTAGTCATGTTGATATTATACGATTAATTTGAATGAAAAAAAAAACATATTTTCTGTTATAGCCCACCCTCGAAAAACCCGCTCCTAATATTATGTCATGTGATGTGAAATGTGGGACAATAGTAGTTTACCGATGTTCAAATCCCATATATCCACTAAGAAGGTAAAAAAAGGTAAAAAAAAAAAAAAAAAAAAAAATCTGAGGGAATCACATGAACTCTAAAAGAAGCGAGATTGGAGGTGTCTAAAGGGTAATCGACTTCTGCTATACATACATCATCCGTAATTGGAATCCACACTCTTTCACAATCGAGAATATGACACCTATAATACAGCGTGCTATACACACAGAGTAATTCTATATCAAAGTAAGACAATCGAAATAAAAATTTGAAGACAAATTTATAAGTGTTTAATTTCGGAACCCTCCCTCTGCTCTCTTCATTGTAACTCACCAGTGAATCGGCAAATGCCTCGTTGTCGCGGCTTAAAAAGAAGCACTTGTCTTCATAATGACTCCAATTATTTGGACATGCACAAAATACTGAAACAAAAATAATAATGCATTTGCATGTATCCTTTCATACAAAATATGAATGTTGAAAAGTGTCTAATTTTTTATAAACAAATGATATAAAAAGAGTTATCACATTCAAGTAACATGAGTAAGTCAATCAGAATCAAATGTCAAAAACGAATAATATAAATTACATTTTTAATGATGCAATTTATATCGACACGGTTTATTTGCATGCATCACGAAGAAAAACTGTTTCAAAGGGATTCCATTATTTGATAATCATCTGACTAAAAGCACATGGTGTTCTTTATCTCAATAAATCGTCGCATCCATAACTGCACGTGATTTCTATGACAAAGTTACTTAATAACAATAATATGAATATTTTAAAAAAAAGTAGGAAAACCTTGAGTTCACTCGTAATCTCATGTGTTGACTCTTACTTTGTAATAACGTCGACCGTGTGCACTTACATATGAAGCGTTTAATTACAAATCTGCTTCGGTCAATGCTTTTACACACTAGACAAAAATTGATATATGATAGATTTTGTTTCAAACAAAGAGGCTTATAACGTTGTACGCTAGATGCACGTACAATATGGGAAGAGTTGTATGAATAATATTTCGCTATAAGAAGTTGGTTTGGTTCAATTTTGTCAAAATTAGCTAAACACCATTTCGTTTGTATCAGGTTATAAGACTGTCGACAGTCTTTGGGGGTCATCTCAATGGATAATTTGATGACATCTGGTCTCTACTACGCACGAAATGCTGCTGTTCATTAACGAGTGTATGCATTGTTAATTATTTCTTTTGCACTTTTTGTAATTTGGAGATAAGTTTTACTATGATTTAAATCAAATATGATAATTTGTTATTGGGTAAAATTAGTGTGCATGAATTTGACAGCTACCCTAAGTCTAACCTTAAACATTACCCTAACCCTAATGCCCCTTAAATGACATTACATAAATAAGCATTTAATTATGAATTACAGATTAAATCTTGAAGAATCAGTACATTAATGATAATTAAAAAGTGACTTACCAACCGTGGTCACAAATGATAGAACACAAAGTTTTATCCAAACAGAAGACATTTTGATATATAAAGCAGCAGTTTTAAGGCGATATTTTTATTCTTAAATTATCTTCATTTTGATGTGATGTCAAAGAAACTGCAGACAGATTGGAATGTAGTTGTAAAATTTGGACCAGAAACAAACTCAAGGTCTCCTCAAATATTGAAGATTAATGTAGAACTGTTGTAAGACTGGTATCTATAAAGACCATTTTAATAAAAAGTTCAAATTTTAGGACAAGATTATTTGGAATATAATTTGGAACATTTATCAGGATAAGGATAAAAGCCAAAGTTCGAGACTTCATATGTGAATATTTGGAATATAAATAAGAATATTTATCGGTACACAAGGCATGTGAGGAGAAATATTAGAATGTAAATCGGAACATCTATTATGAGCACTTCTAATGAATCTTCTGTAGACGAAACGCGCGTCTTGCGTACAAATTTATAAGCCTGATATCATTTGACACCTATGTATGTGCGCACAATAAACATTTCCAGAATAATCATTAACAGGTGCTCAATGATAGCAAAGCTTTTGAAAGGAAAATATGTTGATCGTTTTGGAGTTGAACACGGGGTTTAATATGATATTTGGTAAGATAACTTGTGTTAGAGGGAATTGCCTCTCATACTAGAAATCTATCCGATAAAACTTTAAAATAACATATGAAGATAGGTTTTATAATATGTTTTTAAAAACTAAAAAGAAAAAATGGTGTCACCGAACTTGTTTTCCTGCTGCAAGTAAAAAAGGAAAATTTCATTAACATTCCTTTATAAACACTTTTCCTGTAAGAGTTATCTTAACTTATATGGCTGAGTAGAAAATTGAATCGATCAAAACAATTGGTATTTGTAAAAACAGTCTAAATAATACAATAAATCACTTATCTTTCCTAAATAAACACATAAATATGCATTATGTCTAAAACAATTAGCATATTGAAGCAAAGAATTAGCCAATTTTGTACTGCTATTTTTCAATTAAAGATTCCAATATTCAGTAAAACAACCTAATATATTACATTCACAACGTAGGACGGTAGTAAATGCTTATCCTTCCAGAACACATATGTGTAACTCCGGTTTTTTGTAGGGTTCTTATTGCTTTATCTTCTCGTCGTTTTTTCTTTTTGTTTTGAAATCATAATTGTTTTTGTTGAGTTAGCCTTCCTTTGTCTCTTACACATATCGTTCACGATTATTTAATATGTATGACATTTAGAAAGAACTACAACAAGATGAATGTGCATGAAATCCTGTTGAATACTTGTAATCAGCGTCGTTATTGCTGTTATCAATAATATCAGTGGCTGCAAGGTTTACAACAATGACCTTAGGTTTGACTAATTACGTTAATTAAGATGGCGCCACTTGCTGACTTCCATTCTGTATCTAACTACTTATATACAGAAGATTTCGTGTATTTGTATCTTAATAGCACTTGGTTTTTTCAGGCTCCATGAACCTTTTTTCATTGCGTTTTCAGATTTAAAAGAAAAACAATTGTGGTTCAAAAACCAATTCAACAACTAATTTGTTAACGTTTCTTTATATTTATTGATTTCAATTTTCCCATTGTGAACTTTGACCTTTAATCAAATCAAAATTACATTTCAGCGCAATTTGAATATGAGGTATACAGCTGATGCGACATTCCAGGGTTTTGTTTATTTTTCATCGGTGATGACAATGGCATCATAAATGAACTTAGCAATGTCTTTGTACTTTCCATGTGTAACATGAAGCTGATCCAAACACTGTTTACCTTCCGAGGAACCTGTGTTTACCCTTAGTGTTGTGTTAAGTTAAGTGGTGATTGTTGTTACTTTTGTTTTATACATGTATATTGCTTGTTGCTATATTTTGTTTCAGAGCGTCTATGTTGTTTTGATCAATCATGGACTTGTCAGTGCTTTCTATTGACAAAACTGTTCGTCTCTTAATTTTCCTGTACAGTTCATCGGAAAGTATCAAGACCTTATAGATAATTATTCATTGTCTCCTTCACAAAATAAAACAAGATGGTCTTTGGGTTGTATATGTTGAAACTGTGTATCTTTTTATTTACTTTACATTTCTCCTTAATTTTCATTTGTGTGCTATAATGTTCCTTTTGGTCTTTTTTTTACCATCGAGCTATCGGGTTTTTTGGCTTTTGACATTCCTGGTGCAGGTGGGTCCTAATGTGCGATTCGCACCAATGAGTCTTCTACAGTGTTGTTTTAATTTTGAATACACTTGTATTAATATTTTACTTAATTCGTACAGGCACATACAGAATGTGTCGGGGTTAAACTTGTTTGAAGGCGTCAACCTTACCCCTAACCTAGAACAGTGGTGTAACAGTACAACATAAGAACAAACTATAAAAATCATAACTCATCAGATCGATAAAAAGCAGAAACACATGTAAGAAAAGCACAAACCGGACGTAGCAGGGTATTTATATATCCCTAACAACTAAGTAAATATCTGAGAGTACTCGCAGTTACTGACAGGTAGTTCAAAGCCAATAACAACTAATAAAAAAATCATGCATCTAAGACTAAAATATCAATCCAAATGATTTAGTGTAATGACATCATTAACAGCCAGATAAAAACATGACCTTGTGCAATGCCAAGATACAGGTACTGACAGATTGTAGAGCCATAAATGTGTTTATGTATATAAAAATAATATTTAGATTGATTTTGATTTACAAAATTAATATTAAAACCCATACAAAAAAATTCAAAGATGTAAGGATAGTGTTGAATTGGTAACTTTTTAGAATAAGTTTATTAAAAGGATCGATAAGTTTACCCGGATCGTTTATAAATTTCCGGGCCCGGTATACAACATTTCAGTAAAAATTAGGATGTGCCATCCCGTTTGAAATAAGTTTTCTACAGGTACAACCAAACATCCAAACCAAATCTTTGTATCTATGGAAGAATTTAGTAAAGGTTTTAAGTAATTTGTGGTAACGAAATCCCTGACTTAATAATTTACCAGTAATACATAGATTCATTCAAATTCAAAACGTCACAACAGACACGGCATAGGGAACGAGTTGTGATATATAAACACCGTAAGATGGTGCCAAAGGAACATCGTCGTCCAAAAAAGGAAAATTACCAATAGGGAACAAAAAATCGTCACTTTTGTCGTAAATTTGTGTATAGAGTTTCCCGTATAAAACTGAAATATCTAAATCTAGGAAAGGACAGTTATTTCCGTTTTTATTTGATTTATTTATAGTAAGTTCCTTTGGGAAATTTCGCCAGTATATTTAGAAAATTCTTGATTATTTAACGAAAAATATCATCAAGATAATGATAAGTGTTGTTTGATTTAATCAATTAAATGCAATTTAGACTGGTCTTTACTGAGTTTGGTGATAAACTGTGATTATAACAGTACAAGATCAATAAATTGAGAATGGAAACGGAGAATGTGCCAAAGTGACAGCAACCCGACCAATGAGCAGAAAACAGCCTTAAGCCACCAATGGGTCTTCAACACAGCGAAAAAATCCTGGACCCGGAGGCGGGCTTCAGCTGGCCCCTAAACAGAAATGTGTACTAGTTCAGAGAAAATGGACGTCACACTAGTACTATTTTTGAAACGTGTAAATGAACCGAAGTTAAAAAAAATATATAAAACTTTCAATGGCTAGAGGTTTCTGACTTGTGACAGGCGCAAAAATGCGGCCGGTTAAACATGTTGTGTGCGATCTCAACCCTCCCCCTATACCTCTAGCCAATGTAGCATAAACAAACATACAGTAATACGCATAGTAAAACTCAGTTTAAAAGAAGTCCGAGTCCGAGGTTAGAATAGGAAACAGAAGAAACAAAACAAAATGACAATGATAACAGAAATTAAAAAAGGACTACTAGCAGTTACTGACATGCCAGCTCCAGACATCATTTAAACTGATTGAGA